CTTTCCCTGAGCCCCTTCTCTCTGCAGCCCCCCTAGAGATGCCCTCTCCCTCAGCTTGCACCTTCCGACAGGGTCTTCTGCCCTCTATTTACGCTGTTCTTAGTTTTTTATTTTCTCAGTTATTAACAGATGTGGTTGGTTTTTTGTTATTATTATGAAAGCAATGCACACACATGGAAAAAGATGAAAAAAGATTTAAGACAATAACAACCACCCTAAGCCCATCCCCAGACCCTCATCCAGGTGCGTTTCCTTCACATCGCCACGACCCTCTCCTTCGCGCTGCCTGTGACATGGGGACACTGGTTTTCCTTCCTCTCTGTCTCCTCTCCCTGCCTGTCCTCCCGGGTTTGTTCAGGCTGAGCCATGGGCATCCTGGGTGCCCCTCCCTGACACACACCCACCTGAGGGTGGATCACAGAATGGGAGGCCACATAGATTTGCTTAATCAAAGTGGAATGAACCAGAGGCTGGGAAGCTCTTGGCTCGTCCAGCACTGGGCAGCCGAGGAGACAGAGAGCTGGGCTGGGACCCCAGCTCCTGCCTCCCAGCAAAGTGGCACCACTAAGGGGAGGCCAAGGGTGCAAGGGGAGAGTGGGTGGGTGGGAGAATGGCAGTCGCTGATGGCCACACCATATCCCTCTGCCCAAGGCTGTAAACAATCAGTCGACCGTCAGGCTGCCAGACACCGTACGTGCCATCATGGACCGCTGGACCCAGCAGATGGGCTTCCCTGTCATCACTGTGGACACCAAGACAGGGAGCATCTCCCAGAAGCACTTCCTCCTTGACCCCGAGTCCAAAGTCACCCGCCCCTCAGTGTTCAAGTGAGCAGATGAGGTCACTGAGACAGGCGTCCTAGTGAGGGTTCTGAGGGGCAGTTGCTCTGGGACCCTCTGACCATAGCAGGGCCTGGCCCGCTGTGGCCCTGCCATAGTGGCTGTAGACAGTCTCCTTCCTGGGCCAGGAGGATGGGGGCGTTTAATGCCAGAGTTGGGCAGAAACTGGAAGTCCGGGCAAGGCTGTTCTTTGCTGGCAGTGCCCAAGAGCTGCCGTTTCTCACACCTGGCCTCTGGATCTCTTGTTGCAGCTACCTGTGGATTGTTCCCATCTCATCTATCAGAAATGGCAACCTGCAGGACCACTACTGGCTGCAGGGCAACTCAACAGGTAATCCAGCCCTGCCCTAGTGGACAGCAGCCCCATCCCATACTCCCAGCTCCTGGCCCATGTTCTGGGGTTATGGCAGGCCTCAGCCAGGGCTTCCTTCATCGTTTCATTCAACAAATGGAGCCAGCTTCTTTGGTTCTAATTTCTATGCTGTGTGACCCTGGCCAAGTTACCATCTCTCTCTGGTCTCCATTTCCCCATCTATACAATGGGGCTAGGAACAATATCTACCCCATTGAGTTGTGTGAAGGTTAAAGAAGAGGATTCCCATGAAATGTTTAAAACAGTGCCTGGCACATAGTATGAGCAGTCCTACTCTGCCAGGCACTGAGGAAACCAAGGTCAAGGCAAGTCATCCTCTGCCTAAGCCAAGGCTGCAGATGAAGGGAAGGAAGACAAGAGGTTCAAATGTTCCAGAGCTGTGCTGAGTGCTTTAACAGAGGCATATGTGGCCTCTGGGGTACTGGGGCAGGTGGGTAGGGAGCGGGGAATAGGGAGCTTCAACTTCATGGAGAGGTCAGGAAACACTTCCTGGAGGAGGTGAGCTGAGTTAGAGTAAGAGCAGGAGTTCGCCAGGCTAATGGCAGCAGAGAGAAGCAGTCCAGGCAGAGTTAACAGCAAGTGCAAGGCTTGAGGTAGAAGAGAGCTCGGGGACTGAGTGTGGCTCGGGCAGAGGTGCACCCTCGGTGAAACTGAAGCGGGTCCCTGCAGGCTGCAGGAGACAATGGCTATGTCCTCGGGCCAGCAGGAGCTGGGACAGGTGGGAAGTGGGAAAGCCATTGGGTCTGACCTGCAGTTATGGAAGGATCCCTTCTGGCTGCCAGGAGAAAGGGTGGAGGGAGAGCCGTGAGGACGGGGCACAGAGCCCCCAGGAAGAGATGAGCAGTGCTGGGGGGCTAACTGGATGGGAGGCGCTGCCTGGGTGTGATGGCACTGTTACAAGTGGAGAGGTGGGAAGAGGAGGGGGTGGAGGGGGAGAGGCCGCCTGGGGAGTTGAGTCTGAGTGGCCGGGGGTGTGCCAATGGAGTTGTCCCGGTGGATGCCACACAGAGCCTGTGGGAGGCAGGGCGGCCACTGAGGTTCAGAGATGGCAACTGGTCTGTCCAAGGTCCACGGCCAGAGTCGGTCCCCAGCAGCCAGTCCTGCCCCTCTTCTCCGCCCGTCTCCTTGGTGTTGGCCCAGTGGCGTGAGGGCCGGCTGCTGCCAGGCTGCAGCGGAGGCTGTTCTGCCGACGCCTGGGTCAGGTCAGCCTGTGGCCTTCTGAGCAGCCCTGCCCAGCTCTGGTCTCTCCCCACAGCCCAGCATAATCTGTTCAAAACCAGACCAGAAGAGTGGGTCCTGCTTAACGTCAACGTGACGGGCTATTACCAGGTGAACTACGATGAGGACAACTGGAGGAAGATTCAGAATCAGCTGCAGAGAAGACCACTGGTGGGTACCTGCCGCCCCACCCATCCCCTGCCCGAGGCCCAGCCCCACGACGGGGCCCCAGACTGCAGGGCCTGCCCGCACCGCCAGCCCGAGGTCACACGCTCTGTTGCCCCTTCTAGACCATCCCTGTCATCAATCGGGCACAGGTCATCTACGACAGCTTCAACCTGGCCAGGTGAGTGCTCAGCCATGGAAGCCTGGAGACTTGGTGAGTGCGGTTCCATAGTGAGAGCCAGTGCTGCCTGCCGCCTTCCTCACCGTGTGCCAGGCTCAGCACCGTGGGCTCCCTGTGCTTGTGCACACCCCTCCCTTGGCCCCATGTCCCTAGAGATTGTCGGTGTCACAGCCCATACTTCCCAGAGAAGGACTCTGCGATTCAGAGCTTGAGTACCCTGCCTGAGGTCACACATTAGCCCATGACAGCCAGACGCAGTCCTGTCCAACTCCAAAACCACGGCACCAAGGTTTTCCGGAGGGCTACCTATGGCCCAGGCCACCATGCTCAGTGCTAAGAAAGATACGGGAAGGACAGGATAGAAGAGATGCAGCATGGATAAACAGATATTTATTGGGCAGCTGCTGTGCTCATGAGCACCAGCAGGTGCCAAGTTCTTAGACATAAGTGATGTCACCCATAGACATGGACATTTATGAACCAAATATGCACAGATGGCCTGAGGAGGTGGAGGGAGGAAAGACCAGAGAGCCAAGCGATCAGAGAAGAGGTGGGCAGAGTAAATAGCACAGGTTTCTTGTCTTTTTGAATCTCTGATCTGTCTCCTGTGGGCTGTGTGGCCTTAGGCAAGGCACTTTACCTCTCTGAGCCTCAGTTTCCTCACCTGTAAAATGGGGATAATGAGCAAGGAAATGTGACTGGCAGTGGGTGAGGGCCAGGCCTGGGCTGGCCTCGTTTGTGGCACCACCCAGCATCCACATCCCTCACCCCTACCCCCAGCCCCACCCCTGGTGAATGCTGGAGCTGGCTCAGTTGGGCCTCTGGGACCTCAGGCTCTAGGAGGAGGTTCGGGTTCCCACAGTGAGGCTGGACTGGGTGGGGGTGCTTACTTGAGCCCCTCTGTCTGTTCCCAGTGCCCGTATAGTCCCTGTCACCCTGGCGCTGAACAACACCCTCTTCCTGAACAACGAGAGAGAGTACATGCCCTGGCAGGCCGCCCTGAGCAGCCTGAGGTACTTCAAGCTCATGTTCGACCGATCCGAGGTCTACGGCCCCATGAAGGTACAGAGGGGCATGGCAGGGTTCAAGGACCAATTCCCCAGTGCCTGAAATTACACCATAAGGAAGTGAATAGAAATATTGCCTGGAATGGTGAAACACGCCAAGTCCTTGGCAGTGGTGAGAGAGTAGGAGGGATGTAGGGTGAAGGGAGCAGGGATTGAGAAGGTGAGCAGGTTGGGCACAACAAAGAAAGGACACAGACTTCTAGTAATGTTTGCTAAATTTGGAAATTAGCAAATCCTTCTTTCAGAAGGCAACAGAAAAAGCCACAGAATAGGAAGGGGGTAGGAGTGAGGGAGAAGGCCTTTTACCAGCTGTGTGGACTCAGGCAATCCTCTTCAGACCCAGAGAACCCCTCTGTGAAAGGAGCGGGCCTGTGCCTGCCTAGCCTGCCCTAAGGACCTGGAGGAGGATGCCGATGTTAACACTTTTGAAGCTTGGGGGCACAGGCAGGGAGGATCAGAGGGAAACTGCTTGCTCTGGATCCATAGCTGAACCCATAAGGATGTTCATTGAAGTGTGGTTTATAAAAGACAAGAAAACCAAAAATACTCAAATGTCCAACAGTTGGAGTTGGTTAAGTAGACTAGAATATCCATTTGATGGGATATTATGTAGTCATTAAAAATGTTTTTCACATGATTAGCTAACTCTTATGGTAAATGAGGTTTTAACTCACTTTAAACTAATTAACCTACCTACACCTTGGATTCACCCCATCCTCCTAATGTAGTAAAATCACAGTATTTGGTCAACTCAGTATTCGGCATTTACTTTATGTGATTATTTAAATATCATTCTCCGCTGAGCCACATAAAGTACCATGTTTGTGTCTCCTTTTTTATACATCTTATACAAATGTATCAGATAATACATTAATTTTGCTTTTTCCTGGAGGCATCCCTCCTGGAGCCCTCTGTCGGCCTGCTCCCTTCTAGAACTGCTACTCAGCTCCCAAGCTGGGAGGCTCTCCACTGTTGCATCTCTTGTTTCCTGAACCCACGGATTCTTCCTTGAGTTTTCTCTCTATTAGGGGAGCACATCTTCCAGTTTTGGAGAAAGGGTTCATAAGAGGTGGAGTTTTTCAGGTAGATTGTCTGAAATGTCTTTATTCCACCTTCACACCACACTGAGAGTTTGCTTGGGTTTAGAAGTTTCTAGGTTGAGGGACTTCCCTGGCGGTCCAGTGGTTAGGACTCTGCGCTTCCACTGTAGGGGGAATGGGTTCAATCCCTGATCAGGGAACTAAGATCCCACATGCCTCGCAGCATGGCCAAAAAAATTTTTTTAAAAAAAAAGTAGTTTCTATTTTGGAAATTATTCCTCAGGAAATTTTAGGTCTTGCTCCATTGACATCAAACCTCTCATGTTTCTGTTGAGAAGCCCAGGGCCTTTCTTAGTTCCAGTTCTTTGAATGTGGCCAGGTTCCCCTTCTGGAAGCTGTGGGCTCTTCTCTCCATGCTGGTGGTCCTTCATGCAGGCCTTTCTTATCCTTCTACATTTTCAACCTGGACAACTTTGCATTGCTCCTTTAAACTTTCTTCCTCTCCTTTTTCCCCCCGGTTCTCTCTTTCTGGGACCCTTGTTAATCCAATTCACTGCCCTTACATTGGTCCTCTAAGTTTTCTTCTCTCCTATTTTCCAGCTTGTTGACTTCTTGTTCTGACCTCTGGGATATGCCCTCAGTTTAGCACACCACCTCTCCTCATTTTTTCTATCATATATTTAAGTTTCCAAGTGCTATTCCTGGCTCCAGCGTCCTATGCAATATCTTCTCTGAACTCTTGGAGGATATTTATCACAGGCTTTTATGAAGTTTTCTTTTTCTTTCACTGACTTGTTTCCTCCAAGTCTTCTGTCTGTTTTGATCTCCTCTTTCAAGTTGGAAGCTGAGCTGCCCCTTTGAATTTGAGAGTGAGGCAGTGGTTAAAACTCCACGAGGAGGTGGAGTTTGTCACCAGCAGTCTTCTTATGGGGTGACTAGGTGGCCAAGTAACTCCTCGTGGGGACCCTCAAAAATTAATATCTGTGACTGTGTTCCCTTGAGACCATTCAGTCTCCAGAGTGATCCTCTGTCTTGTGTAGTTGAGGCTCACTTTCTGGGATCAGGGTGGGGAAGGAAACTGGGGGTACCTCCATTTAGGCTGTAAACTTTCACCTCTGGCCCTCTCTGCAATTCAGCAACCCTCCCACTGTGTCTGGGGACCCTAGTGCTGAGCCCCTCTGATTCAGCCTTGCTCATGGGGGAGGGAGGGGTGTTGCTTGAGGCAGGGAGGGAAGTGGGCACTTGAGGGTTTAATTAGTCCCTCTACAGACTTTGACTCCATTGCCCTGTTCACAGCCCAGCCTCACTCCTGTCCCCTGCACACCCATCCCTCTAATCCCGAGCCTCGCCACAGCAAGTCTCCTTGCTTCTGTCTCCATCTCCCCCATGGCAGGTGCTCTGCTGCAGACCCCCACCTTGGTGAAGCCTGTTCCATCTCCCTCTCTCCACCTCCCAGCTCCTACACTGTGTGGCCGTCTCATCCACTGTTGTTTCCTTTCCAATTCTCTTTGCTCTTGGGGGTTTATTCCTTGTACGTTTGGATGCGGATTCTGGTTGACACACATGATAATCTACTGTACTGAACCAGCGTCTGCAAAGGATTTTAATAACATGGGTTGGGCCTTACACGACAATGCCAGCTAAAAGAACAGCATGCAGAATTGTAGATATGCTGGGTAGAAAAGAGAAAGGAAGGGGCAAACTCACCAGTTTGGGAGTCATGGATTTGTTAAGTTCTGGGGTGGTTAGTATTTTCTGCCTATGCTTTACAGTGTTTTCTAAATTCCCCACAATAAAGGCAGAATACTTATGATCAGGTGGTGGGGGATGGTAGGCCCTAAAACTATATTAGGAAATGGTGATACGTAGACATCAGTGTCAGAACTGGTTGAGGAGAAAGAATCTCAGATCAGTCATCTGAGACCTGAACTAGCGCTGGCTCCTTTGACCACTATCTGGCCTTGGGTGAGGCCCTTAGCCTCTGGCCTCTTGCTTCTGTAGCCATTAGCCCTTGCTACACTTGCCCACCCACATCAGAGGCTCCGTGGGGCTCCAGGTGGGTCAGGCATGAGTCTCTTCTTTGAGGCTGTTCATGTTTTCTTTTTCCCAGAATTACCTCAGGAATCAGGTTGAACCCCTCTTCCTATATTTTGAAAATCTCACCAAAAACTGGACTGAGCGCCCAGAAAGCCTGATGGACCAGTGAGTATGACCTCTCTTGGGTCTGGAGATCACAGGTGGCCCAGGCACCCTGACCTGAGAAGTCCAGAGCAAGTCCCAGCAGCATCCTCCTCTGAAGTTCCCAACTCCTAGCCGGACCAGGGCCACCAGTCAGGGAGAGACCCCCCCTCCACCCACTAGGAATAGAGAACCCTGCCCTGAGGCTCTGTGGTCTCTTTGTACAAAGGACCAAACTGAAATTTCAAGGTCTCCTCACCAGCATTGTTATTCAGATTCTAGGTGTTGAAGGTGGGGCTGGAGTCTGTGCCCACCCTCCCTGGGCTGTCCAAGGCAAGAAGCAAAGAGGGGGACCCAAAGGGCAGGAGGGCTGCAACCTTACAGCCCCAGCCCTGCTGCCCTTCCTGGAGTTGTGTGTCAGCAGGGGAGTCTTTGCCAGAGTCAGAGCCAGGCATGCTGACAGAGTGTCACCCCTGGGGCAGGTACAATGAGATTAATGCCATCAGCACTGCCTGCTCCAATGGGCTGCCTAAGTGTGAGGAGCTGGCCAAGAACCTTTACAACCAGTGGATGGAGAACCCCCAAAATAACCCGTGAGTGTGTCCCCTGCTTGTCTCCTGATCTTTATCCGTCCCTCAAGCTCACAGCCCTGCCCTCATCAGACCCTCGTCCCGCCCTCCCTGCTGCTGCTCTACCCCTGACACCCTGACCCCACACCAGGATCCACCCCAACCTGCGGTCCACCATCTACTGCAACGCCATCGCCCAGGGCGACCAGAAAGAGTGGGACTTCGCCTGGAGGCAGTTACAACAAGCCCAACTGGTTAATGAAGCTGACAAACTCCGCTCAGCGCTGGCCTGCACCAACCAGGTCTGGCTCCTGAACAGGTGAGGACCAGAGCTGGACGGGGCTGGGTGAGTTCCCCTCCCTGCCGGGGACCAGGCTCCCAATGTGGGGGAGAAAGAACCAGCCAGGCATCCACAGTCTCCTCCGTGGGATCCTCGCAAACCTGTGCAGTGGAGCAGTGTGTTTTCCCAGTTTTACAGATGAGGACACTGAGGCTCAAAGAAGCAAAACAACTTGCCCAAAGTCTAGAAGCTTTACTAAGTGAGAAAAACAAGATATGAATCTGGATCTGGGTCCACGTCCTGTGCTTTTAACTGCTGCAGTCTCCTAGCCTTTACCTCTCTGTCAAGGGCTGTGGTGCACCTGGACCTGAGGCCTTCTGGACATCCAGCTGGGCACCCCCCAAACCCTTGGATGAGGGCTCCTGGCTCCCACTGTGTGCCTCATATGCCATCTTCTGTACTTCAGTAAAGAAGAGCTACCCTCAATGTCAAAGACAGGAGTGGCCACCCTACCTGGTGCAGGGCTTACCCCTTGCTTCGTTCATTCATCATCAGATATTTATCAAGCACTGGGTCTATGTCAGTATGATACCTGGCATAGCCAGTGACCCTGCTTAGGGGACTCAGTGTCCCACCTACAGGAGGGCGGTAGGACCAAGTAGTCTTTAACCCGCAGCATGCTGAAGGCATGTTGAGAGGTTGCAGGAGAGGTGTGTGGGGTGGAGGGCAGGGTCCTTTTACTTATTACGCACCATGCTGTCCTCACAGGTACCTGAGTTACACCCTGAACCCAGACCTCATCCGGAAGCAGGATGCCACCTCCACCATTAACAGCATTGCCAGCAACGTCCTCGGGCAATCTCTGGCCTGGGACTTTGTCCAGAGCAACTGGAAGAAACTCTTTCAGGAGTGAGTCTGCTGAGAGCATGTTAGGGGAAGCGCACACCAAGGCTGCATCCCCTGGGGGTGGGCTGTGTGTACCAGACCCTGTAGGGTTGGGAGTGGAGGGTAGACACTGCATCGGAGTGGTTCAAAAAGAACCCAGCTTGAGGTTGGGAAGGGACAGGAATTGAAAGACGTGGCAGCGGGGCACAGCCGTCCCTTTTCCCACTTGGGGGAAAGAAAGTCTGGCTGGTGGGAGTGTTCTCTGAAGAGATGGGAGCAAGGACACTGCAATCAAACCCGTGTTCAAGTCCCTAGTGGTGTCTCCTTGGACATGTCATTTCATCACATCTACGAGATGGGGACAGTCACAGGGTCCTGTGTCGCCTGCCAGTCACTGAACGTCGGTTCCTGGCCCCCCTCATGGTTCCTCTCTCTCCCTGCCCTGCAGTTACGGCGGTGGTTCCTTTTCCTTCTCCAACCTCATCCAGGCTGTGACCCGAAGATTCTCCACTGAGTTAGAGCTGCAGCAGGTAAGAAGCCCTGGACCTTGGGGCGGCACCCAGAGGCCCATCCCCAGTCTCAAGGGACAGCTGCCACTCAGCTCCCACCGCATGTGTTCACAAGGCAGTGGGGCTCCATGTGGTCAGGCCTTCCTCATGTACAGGGGAAGCTGGGTATCCAGACTTTCCAAATGTCACAATTCAATCACAGATATTCATCTTGGAATTTTTGTATAGGCAAAAGGTAAAGAGAATAATATAATGAACCTCCATGTACCCGTTACTCAGATTGAACAATTGTTAACATTTGCTGACATTTTTTGGGGGCGGACAGTTTTCAAGCTAATCACTGATATTATGTAATTTCACCTATAAACACTTTAGTCATATCTAAAATAAAGGAATTTTAAAAACATAATCTATCATTAGCAAATACAAGAAAATTAACAATGCCTTACTATCATCTTATACCCAGGCCATTTTCAAATTCTCTTTTTTTTTTTTTTTTTGGCTGTGCCACAGCCGCTTGTGGGATCTTAGTTCCCTGACCAGCGATTGAACCTGTGCCCCCTGCATTGGGAGCACAGAGTCTTAACCACTGGACCACCAGGGAAGTCCCCTATGTTCACGTTTTTGAGTGAACCTCTGTTTTTAGTTCTCGTGGGTGTACACCTAGGAGTGGAATTGCTAGGTCATTTGGTAACTGTGTTTAACTTTTTGAGAAACTGCCAAAATGTTTTCCAAAGCAACTGCACCAACTTACATTCCCACCAGCAATGTATGAAGGTTCCAATTTCTTTATGTTTTGGGGAAAATTGTTATTTTCCTTTTTAAAAAATTTATAGCCATCCTACTGGGTGCAAAGTGGTATCTCACTGTGGTTATGAGTTGCATTTCTCAGATGACTAATGATGTTGAGCATCATTTCATGTGCTTCTTGGCCGTTTGTATATCTTCTTTGGAGAAATGTCTATTCAAATCCTTCACTCATTTTTTTTAAAAAATAAATTTATTTATTTATTTTTGCCTGCATTGGGTCTTCATTGCTGCGCGTGGGCTTTCTCTAGTTGCGGCGAGTGGGGGCTGCTCTTCGTTGTGGTGCACCGGCTTCTCATTGCAGTGGCTTCTCTTTTTGCAGAGCATGGGCTCTAGGCACGCGGGCTCAGTAGTTGTGGCTCGCAGGCTCTAGAGCACAGGCTTAGTAGTTGTGGCACGCAGGCTTAGTTGCTCCACGGCATGTGGGATCTTCACGGACCAGGGCTCGAACCCGTGTCCCCTGCATTGGCAGGTGGATTCTTAACCACTGTGCCACCAGGGAAGCCCCCTTCACTCAGTTTTTAATTGGTGTATTTGTCTTTTTATTGTTGAGTTACAAGAGTTCTTTATATATTCTGGATACTAGGCCCTTATTAGACAAATGATTTGCAAATATTTTCTCCCATTTTGTGGATTGTCTTTTCAGTTTCTTGATAGTGTCTTTGATACACAAAGTTTTCAATTCTTTAAAAAATATTTATTTATGGCTGCATTGGGTCTTCATTGCTGCACGTGGGCTTTCTCTAGTTGCGCCGAGCTGGGGCTACTCTTCGTTGTGGTGCGCGGGCTTCTCGCTGCGGTGGCTTCTCTTGTTGTGGAGCACAGGCTCTAGGCACGAGGGCGTCAGTGGTTGTGGCACGTGGGCTCAGTAGTTGTGGCTCGCAGGCTCTAGAGTGCAAGCTCAGTAGTCATGGTGCAGGGGCTTTGTTGCTCCAGGGCATGTGGGATCTTCCCGACCCAGGGATCGAACCCATGTCCCCTGCATTGGCAGGTGGATTCTTTACCACTGAGCCACCAGGGAAGTCCAAAAGTTTTTTATTTTGATGAAGTCTAACTTTCTATTTTTCTTTGTTGCTTGTGCTTTATGTGTCATATATAAGAAACAATTACCTAATCCTAGGTCACAAAGATTTACACCTATGCTTTTTACCAAGATTCTTATCATTTTAGCTCTTACATTTAGGAGTGATCAATTTTGACTTAATTTTTGTACATGGTGTAAGGCAGAGGTCCAATTTCATCCCTTTGCATGTGGCTATCCAGTTGTCCCAGTACCATTTATTAAAAGGACTGTTCTTTTTTTTTGTAATATCATTAATTTATTTAAAAATTTTATTGGAGTATAGTTGACTTACAATGTTGTGTCAGTTTCAGGTGTACAGCAAAGTGATTCAGTTATACATATACATATATTCATTCTTTTTCAGATTCTTTTCTCTTGTAGCTTATCACAGAATATTGAGTAATGCTCCCTGTGCTATACAGTAGGTCCTTGCTGGTTATCTATCTTATATATAGTGGTGTGTGTATATTAATCCCAAGGTCCTGATTTATCCCTCCTGGCCCCCATGTTTCCCCTTTGGTAACCATAAGTTTGTTTTCGATATCTGTAAGTCTGTTTCTGTTTTGTAAATAAGTTCATTTGTATCATTTAAAAAAAAATAGATTCCACATATAAATGATATCATATGATATTTGTCTTTCTCTGTCTGACTTACTTCATTTAGTATGATAATCTCTAGGTCCATCCATGTTGCTACAAATGGCATTATTTCATTCTTTTTTATGGCTGAGTAATATTCCATTGTAGATATGTACCACATCTTTATCCATTCCTCTGTTGATAAAAGGACTATTCTTTCACCCATTGAATGATCTTGGCACCTTTGTTGAAAATCATTTGACTGTCAATTTTAGGGTCTATTTCTGGACTCTCAATTCTATTTCATTGATCTGTTTGTCTTTATGCTAGTACACATTGTCTTAGTTATCATCGATTTGTAGTGAGTTTTGAAATCGGGATTGTGGGCCCTCCAACTTTGTTCTTTTTCAAGATCATTTGGCTATTCTGAATCTTTGCATTTCTTTATGAATTTTAGGATCAGCTTGCCAATTTCTGCAAAAAAATACAGTTGGAATTTTGATAGGGATTGTATTGAATCTGTAGATCAATTTGGGAAGTATTTCCATGTTAGTAATATTAAATCTACCAATCCATTAACACAGATTTATTTGTCGTTATTTTTCCTTTTATTTAGGTCTTCTTAATTTTTCTCAACAATATTTTATAGTTTTCAGCATACTGGTCTTGCACTTCTTTTGTCAAATTTATTCCTAAGTATTTTATTCTTTTGGATGCTATTGTAAACGGAACTGTTTTCTTAATTTCATTTTCAGATTTTTCACAGCTAGTGTATAGAAATACAATTGATCTTTGTATATTGCTCTTATATCCTGCAACCTTGTTGAACTCATAAGTTTTAATAGTTGTGCTTTTTTATTTTTCGATTCCTTGGGATTTTCTGTATACAAAATCGTGTCATCTGCAAATAGAGATAGTTTACTTCTTCCTTTCTGGATGCTTTTAATTTCATTTTCTTGCCTAATTGCCCTCGCTACAACCTCCAGTACTAATACATCTTTTAATCTGTAGCACCTCTTTAAAAACAAACAAACAAACAAAAAAACCCATTTATTTGCTCAAGCAACTGGGCCATTTGTACTATAGAAATGGCCACATTTTGAATTTGGCTGGTTGCTTCCTTGTGGTGTCTGTTTAATCTGTTCCTCTCTCCTCCCTTGATTGGACTGAGATTGTAATTTATTTAAAAACTGAGGATCAACTCAATGAGAACCTCACAATGAAGATTAAATACATGTAGGAGCCAGGCTGAACCTTGGGTCAGTCATTTTCTTTTTTTAATAAATTTATTTATTTATTTATTTTTGGCTGTGTTGGGTCTTTGTTGCTGCATGCAGGCTTTCTCTAGTTGCAGCAAGTAGGGGCTACTCTTAGTTGTGGTGCGCGGGCTTCTCACTGCAGTGGCTTCTCTTGTTGCAGAGCGTGGGCTCTCGGCGTGCGGGCCTGCTTCAGTAGTTGTGGCTCGCGGGCTCTAGAGTGGAGGCTCAGTAGTTGTGGCGCACGGTCTTAGTTACTCCGAGGCATGTGGGATCTTCCCAGACAAGGGCTTGAACCTGCGTCCCTTGCATTGGGAGGCGGATTCTTAACCACTGCACCATTAGGGAAGCCCAGGGCTGTCATTTTTGACCACTGCCAGGGAGAGGGAAGGACTGGCCCTCCCTGTCCTGGAGAACAGGCTGTTGTCCCCATTCCCATGTTAGGGGCCCTAACATGGAGGGGGAGGACAGAGGACCTGGCAGCCCTCTCCTCAGGGCTGTGTTAGAGACCTAACCTGGGGCTCAGAATTATCCTTTTCCTCGCAGCTGGAGCAGTTCAAGAAGAACAACATGGATGTAGGCTTCGGCTCAGGCACCCGAGCTCTGGAGCAAGCCCTGGAGAAGACCAGAGCCAACATCAAGTGGGTGAAGGAGAACAAGGAGGTGGTGTTAAAGTGGTTCACAGAACACAGCTAAATAGTCCCTGGTGCTTAGAGTCACCTGGCCCCCATGTGAGATGCCCACGTGTGTCTACCCAAGTGGCTCACGGTAGGGCCCCCATTCCTGAAGCCTGAGGCACCCGTGTACCCCCCTTAGGAACAGAGTCTCTGGCCCATGTTCTCTCCACTCTGCCCAGGGGGCCAATCCAGTTTCTGATGGCCAGACTGTCCAAGTGCCTCCCAGCCCCTGCCCCTCATGCCAACCCCACCCCAGGCCTGGCATGGCTCCTGTCACCCAGGGCCCTGGGGCTGATCTCAGGGAAGTCCAGCTCCAGGGCCAGATGAGCAGAGGCCCTCGATGGATGGACTGCCTTGGAGGGCTGCCCTGTGCCCTCTCTCACCCTCCCATAAAGACCCCGAACCTGAGGAGTCAACAGAGCACCAGATCTGTATATGTTTTTCTAAGATAAAATGTAAATAAAGGATTTCTAGATGAGCTTCCAGACTCATTACTAAACTAGAGCAGGAGTGGGTCTGCACAACAGCTAGAGAACCTGGGGTGCATGGGGGCCTTGGACCCCCAGGAAACATAGGAGGGAAGAAGTACCCAGCCTGCCGCTCCTTCCTAGAGCACCTGTATGGCAGTGTCTGCCTGCAGTCTTCATTTCATTGGCAGGATTGAGACTCTGGGTGCCGGGGAACCACTGGAGGTGGAAGGAATGGGGACACAGCGGTCCCCAAGGTGGAGTGGGGCTTGGTGCCAGACACAGAGCAGGTCCTGACAGTGGAGGGAGTGCTTTTCCAGAAAGCAGGAGTTTCCATGGTTTCAGAAGCTAGGATTTGCACCTGAACTAGCGTAAGGCAAGTTCAGGGAGCAGGGTGCTGGCTGGACCCCTCTTCCTGCACTGCAGCCAGCACACCTGGGAGAGTGAGAGAAAAGGGCTCACGGTAAGGGCAGCAAGCCCTGGGTCCAGGCCTGGTGTGACCACTCACTGGCCAAGGGCATGTCCTGCCACCTCTCCAGGATTCCTAGGTGGCATATCAGTTTGTAAAGTGGTTGTTTTCAAGAATAGCATACAGAAAAAGGCAGGTGCGCTCCAGATCACCTGGGGCAGCCAGTGATCAGGGCCAACTCTGAGGAGAAAGTCTGGGACCCTCAAGGCTCCACGGCCCACATCAGCCTTGGTGGAAATTTCTTGGCAAAGGAGGTCCAGCTGAGCACCCAAGGCTGGTGGGATGGAAAGAGGGAGGTAACGGATAGCCCAGGCTCCTCAGGGGTCACCTCCAGTTGACCCCACCTGTGAGCTGCTCCCGCTGAAGTCTTGAAGTCCAGCCTGTTTCTTGACCCCTGGGCTTTGGTTTCCTCATCTGCACGATAAAGACGATCTATCTTAGGGTTGGTGTGTGGATATAAGGAGATTCACGTACTTAGCACACAGTCTGACACTTAAGGAGAGCAGGGTGTTACTATCATCCTTAGCCCTGTCTCCTGCTCAAGGCCCCATTCATCCTTTTTCCTCCCAGCCTCTTCCTCCTTGTTAGAAGCGCGCCAGCAGGCCTGGGGCCAGGAAGGCTCCTCCACGCTCCACTGCCTTCCGCATATCAAAGGGTGGGGCGGGCCAAGGGGTGGGACCAGTCTTGGGTACGGGTCCCTCCACCAACCAGGAGGCTCCCCCCAGCCCAGCCTCTCCGGACCAGCCCTTCCTGTCGCCAGGGCCCAGCTGCCGGCGGCTGGCACTTGACCTTCGGGGGACCAGAGGGCAGGCGGCCCCCTCAGGTGGTCCCCTCTGGGGTAAGGACCAGCACCACCATCTAGGGTCCCTGGGGGAGAGTTGGTCTCCATGTAGGAGAGTCAGCAGGGACCCTAGTCTCCGTGCCTGGCACCGGGCTAAGTGTTTATGCGCATTATCTCATTTGGTTTTCAACAGTCCCAGGAGATAAGGACTGTCTTTATCTCAGTTTTGCAGATAAGGAAACCGAGGCGCAGGGAGGTTAAGACCCCGCCTCTAATGCCCATGCATGAGTGGAAGCTGGCCCTGCATTTGGGGCTATGGTAGTTAGGCACTCTCACCTGACAGCTCACAGTACAGGCATTCACGACTGCCTGTGGGGCTGGAGGAAATCGGTACCGAGGATGCAGCGAGGACATGCAGAGCCAGAGACCTGCTTGCAGAACCTAGCTCAAGGTCGGATGCAGAACAGGAGCTGCCTAGAACTCTGACTGCTCATTCCCTATCCAGCGCTCCGTCTACAGGTGGGTTGACTTCTCACGGCCAGTGGGGGGCCCTGAGGATCAGCCAGAAGCAGCAGGGGTGGGGGTGGGGGGCTCTCCCACCTCCCCACCCTCCAGGAGACTCCTCAGGAGGCACGTCCTCTGCACTGCAGGGTCACTGAGAAGCCCTGGGTGAGGTACTCGGTGAATGTCCAGTCTCTTATGGATGGTGACTGGGTCCCCAGGAAGGTGTAGGTGGACCAGTCATCCCAGGCAGGGCACCAGCATCAGCCCCTCTCCCTCCCCTGCCAGGCACTTAGCGCAGAGATGCAGCCAAGAGCAGCCTGTCTGGGATGGAGCCACACATAAAAGTGAGGGGCTGCTGGTCCTGAGAGGCAGGGCTGAGCCTGCCCTCCCAGAGGGTGAGGACAGTGGTGGGGGATTAGCCCAAGCCCCCGGCAACTCCAGCTGGGGTCATAGCAGCCTTTTGCCTCTGCCTTTGCATCTCCCAGAGGAGCTGGGAAAAGAAGGCTGCCAAATTCCAGAAGATGCTCAGCTCTGGCTGGCCCTTGCCGTGGCCATCAGTGACTGGACCAAGGACTGAGGCCAGATAGGCGGGAGCCAAAGGAAGGAGATGGGCAGCTGTTCAGTTCCACCTTAGGTGCAGGTGCCATGAGACTGTGGAGCCAAGTCCTTGCATCTTCTTGAGAAGCAGAGAGCACTGGACAGGGAGTCAGGGGCTTGATGTTCCAACCTAGCTGGAGGGCTAGAGAAAGTTGCTCCCCTCCCTGGGCCAGTTTCCTCAGCTGTAAAACGAAGGAGCCAAAAATAGCCATTGCTCCCAAACCTCGTTGGGCCTCGGCTCCAGGTTCCCAGGTCCCGGCCCGACGCACTGAATCACACTCTCAGGGTGGGACCCTGGAACCAGAGGGCTCAACATGCAGTCAGGTGAGGGAACCACCAGACTGGATCATCTCTAAGGTCGTGTGATTCTATTCAGCTATTATGTATTGAGCAATTACTACGTGCCAAGCCTAAGAACCCTGAGAGGTAGAGTCTATTATTGTTGCCACTTCACAGCTGAGGAGACTGAGAGTCAGGGAGGTTTTGTTCGTTTTTTGCCTTTTCAATTTTTTGGCCGCGCTGTGCAGCATATGGGATCTTAGTTCCCGAACCAGTGATTGAACCTGCGCTCCCTGCAATGGAAGCTTGCAGTCTTAACCACTGGGCCGCCAGGGAAGTCCCCAGGGAGGTTTTGAAGCTTGCCCACGGTTACACAGAGAATAAGAGCTGAATGAATGTGCAACCAGGGCAGCTGTGCCCTGTATCTGTCTCCCTGCTGCATGTAACCTTTTGTGAGCTTTTCCCATCCTCCGCTGTGGCAGGCAGCCCCTACAGAGGGTCCTGGGGTAGGAACCAGAACCCACTTCTAAAACGTTGGGGGAAGAAGGCACTGCAGTGGTCACCTAATCCAGCTCCTCTTTAAGAGATGGGGAAACTGAAGCACAGAGATGGAGTGACTTGCCTGGCGTCAAAGGGCATGTCAGCAGGCAGTGGGTCAGATGGGAGGCCCTGCATGTGGCAGCTCAGTCTCTGGTCTTCCTCCTGCCTCTGCTCTCGCCCTGCACCATTAACAGTGGCCCCCTGCCAGGCTCCATTTCTATAAGGCAGCCCAAAAGACCAAGAGTGGCTCTGACCAGCCCACCCCCTACCCTCCACCTTCACTGTCCCCTCCACCCAGGACACAGAGGCCAGATGCCTCCCCCTGCCATATGAGGCTCCCCACAACCCCGCCTCCCAGCTCCTTTTCCAACTCAATTTGTCACTTTTCCCCATCAGTTCTGGACTTCAACCACCTGTTTCAACTTGGCTCATGCTGTTTCTTCTGCCTACTCCTCTTGGCGAACTCCACACATCCTTCAATACTCAGTTCCTACATCCTGCAACTCTCCCCTCTCTGAATCAGAAACAGAATGAAGTCACCACCACTGTTGGCTCCCATGCCTATGGCAGCCTTTGCTAATGGATCATGGTGCCCTTTCCCCAAGATCCTGGAGGTGCCTCTTAGTCTTGCTCAAGGCCACATAAATCAATGCGGCAGGACTAATGGATCAGGTAACTCAAGAACGCAACAGCACTGTCAACCCCATCTCCCACCAGAGAGGCTGGCATATCCTCTCTGGTCCCAAAGTACCTTGCATAAACGCCCCCAGGCCCATCTTAACCTGGGCTCTGATCATTTCCTTCCCTGTAATTTACCCCATTAGTCAGGGCACGTTTTCTCTGGCACCTAGTACTGGGTGTTGTGAGCTGAACTCTGTTCCCCCCCAACTCTTGGTGAAGTTCTAACCCCCAGTATCTCAGAACGTCAATGTATTTGGAGATAGAGCCTTTAAAGACGTACTTAAGGTAAAATGACTTCATGTGGGTGGGCCCAAATCCAATATACTGGTGTCCTTGTAAGAAGAGAAGATTAAGACACAGAGACTGGACCATGGGATAACCGTGCGAGGACACAGCAAGAAGGCGGCCATCTGCAAGCCAAGGAGAGAGGCCTCAGAAGAAACCAAACCTGCTGACCCCTTGGTCTTGGACTTCCAGTCTCCAGAACTGTGAGAAAATCAATTTCCGTTGTTTAAGCCACCCAATTTGTGGTATTGTCTTAGGGCAGCCCTAGTAAACTAATACACTGGGCCTAGCACATGGGAGCCACTCACAAGCACCCTTTGGAAACAACTTCATATAACTGTGAAAGAGCCCTATGGGTCAGCATGAATGCACCCAGGAGAATGCAAAAGGGCAATGGTGACGGGCTTCAGGCAAGT